AATTGCCATATTGGAAAGATCTTCTTTTGCGCCACAACCTCGATGTGATGCATATAGAGAAGAACTTTTTTGAGAACATCATGAACACTATATTGAACGTCCCAGGGAAGACGAAAGACAACGTAAAATCGAGGTTAGACTTACCCGATATCTGCTCAAGGAGTGAGCTACATATAAAAAGCAATGGGCAAGTTCCAGTACCAATATTCAGACTGTCATCAGAAAAAAAGTCTGCGTTGTTCAACTGGGTGGCTTCAGAAGTGAAGTTTCCTGATGGGTATGTTTCAAATCTCTCAAGATGTGTTGAGAAAGGGCAAAAGTTCTCCGGGATGAAGAGCAATGATTGTCATGTCTTCATGCAGCGACTACTTCCCTTTGCGTTTGCGGAGCTACTACCGGCAAAAGTACATGAAGCACTTTCAGGTAATTAATTAATATAATACGATGATATGATTATACATATATATATATACTAATGTGGATAATGTTTGTTTTTGTAAATATATAGGAATTGGAGCATTTTTTAGGGATCTGAGCACCCGCACTCTTAAAGTGGAAGTTGTCCAACAACTTTATGAAAACATCCGTGTCTTAATCTGCAACTTGGAGAAAATATTTCCGCCTACTTTTTTCGACGTCATGGAACACCTAGTTGTCCACCTCCCGTATGAGGCATTACTTCTTGGACCTGTGCATTATGGATGGATGTATCAGTATGAAAGGGCCATGAAAACTTTGAAAGGAAAAGCCAAAAACCTAGCAAGAGTTGAAGGTTCTATTGTTGCGGGAAGTTTGATGGAAGAAACATCACATTTCACATCGTACTACTTTGCACCGAAAGTACGTACAAGGAAACGAGCTCTAAGAAGATATGATGATGGTGGTGTTGTGCCAACATATATGAAAGACGATGTTCTAGACATCTTTTGTCAAATTGGGCGATTGGGTGGGAAATTAAAAGAGATTTGGTGGTCGAGTGATGAAGACGTCCATAGTGCACACCTTTATATTCTTCTTAATTGCGAGCATCCGTTGATTGCTTATTTTGAAAGGTAAATATATAACCATACACACTTATATATATATATATACATATATTTTCAATATTAAATATATAACATAACATATATGATTTTACAGCCAATTTGTGACTCAAGTCGAGGAAGCAATACCTGGTATATCGACACCTGAGTTAGACAAAAGAAAAGATCAACACTTTATCAAGTGGTTGAGGAAACAAGTATTTATTATTACTTAAATTTTATGCATACATTACCACAAAGTAAGTCTAATATGTCTAGTTATATTACTTTTTGTTGCAGGTTGATTATGACGATCCTCAGTATCCCGCATGGTTTCGCGAATTACTCCAAGGTCCAGTTGCAAAGGTCACTACATCATCGATGTATTTCACCCAAGGCTATACTTTTCATACCTATGACTATGGTAGACACCGGGGGACAAGTAATTATGGAATATGTGTGAAAGGCGAAACAAATTTCTACGGGATCTTGCAGGAGATTTATGAAGTTCAATTCCCAGGT